TATACAAGATGAAATTTATGGGAAATGTGTTGGCACACGAGGCTGCACGATAGCACGCGTGCAGTGTGACTTTCCCATCGTCATGTGCGCTCACACCATACAATAATGTTATCAAGCAATGTGTTCGGAACATTGCCTTAGGATTTTATGCGATACACCCTTACATCTTCACGGTCCTTCTTAAGCTCAAAATGTAACGGGAAGGACCAACATCTTGTACCGTGTTAGCTATTATTAACCCTTTTAGCTAACAGCTCTTCAGTTTCAGTATACCTACAGTCTCTTCCTCTGAACGTTGGGAGCCAAGTTTTAAAGCACTGAAAGAGAAAAGCGCTGTAAAAGAAGAAAGTCTGTGCTGTCAGCAATACCGATGATTGAAATTGGCGGCTAGGGCACACCCTACCGTTGGAGAGATTTTGGAATATCCCCTCAAAAGGTCTCCTCTGGTATGGCCCTGCTTCCCATCTGTATTCTACAAACCACCTCGCTCAATTTCTCCAAATTCCTACTACATTTTCAGTTTCTCCAAAAAGCGTACCTGAAACACAATCGAGGAACAAACCGCGAAGAGTCAACAGTGAAAAACATTCTATTCAAAGGCAAATATGACCTCTGTCCCTTCGGCGACCAAGTATGACCTCCTCCCCTCGCTGGGGATCCAAAAAGTATAGCGTGCCCAGTTAGTGACTTGTACAACGCCCTCAACGCAACTGAGAACAGTGAATGTGGAGAAACCACCACAAAACGTCTCCCTTTGAAATTTTCCGAGCCACACGCCAAGAAGGAATAGCACACTGGCGCCCAGGCAGGTAAATGCCAGCTTACGCCTGAGCTTGTGAAAACTGAGCAGCTGGATTGGGGAGTTTTTAAGAAGGAGAAGTTGTAACATAGTCCGAAGCAGCAGAGGTTGGAAAAAGCATCTGCTATAGCCGCTGAATCTTTGTCTAGGGAGGATATAACAGCCGTACAAATACAAATAAAGCAAAGAAGCAGACAGTCTTAGCCTAGGGAGAAGGCGGCTGCGGAGACAAGGGTATCACCAGTTCCAATGATTGACACCTGTACTATAGGAACACACCTGCTGGGAAATCCCGTGCCCTGAATAGGTGACGCAACTGCTACAGAAGGCGTGTCTTCAACTGATCACGGCCGCATTGCCCCAGTCACTCACTGTGCAGTTACGGAAGTGATACAATCTAAGAGACGTTAGTTGAGCTAGGGATCTGTCTTCAGGGGAGAAAAATTAAGGACTGGGAAGTGTATGAAGCAAAACAAAGGAATTCCTTTCGTAGTGAACAGTGTGAAGTGTTCACCTCTACTGTATCGCCAGCCTTGGAGGAACAGTATCTGGTAGACTGCGGGGTCACTCTGCAGTTACAAAGATTGTGTCGATTCAGTGACCTGAGAAAGGGTGGAAAGTACACCAAGTCCTTTGAACTCAAGATTGTCCACAGCGAGAGACGCCAATGGTAACTGCCGCACGCAGGATAACGGTCTCGATCGTCTGTGTAGTCACACTCTCGTTGGTCATCGTGAAAACGCTCAATGATTCCTTCCCATGAACTCTCATGATTCCCAAGATCAACTGCAGAAAGGAGAGCCCCTGAGGATGCTTTCTTCCGCTTAGCTGCTTTTGAACGAGTCACTTAACGCCTACAAAGTCGTAAGTAAATCAGACTTTCGTTCCTCTCTATTACCGAGCGTGCCTTATGAGATTAATAATAATATAATGCTCTGGTGTACTCTGCAGGAAGACTGAACAATGCTCATTCGTTCCGATATAAAAGAATTAGGGGTAGCGACGCGTTTTACAACTCGATGATGGCTGTCCAGGCTGTCCTTAAACTCAAAGGTCCGATTTCATGAGAACCTTGTTGAACGGATCTTTGGCAAAAAAATTTTGAAAGACTGCAAAAGGAATAATTCTCAGGGATCAACACGAACTAACTTGGTTGCCATGATCGAACCATTAAGTTAATGCCAGAAGTTGAATACCCATCCATTGAGGCAATAAAGTAACATAGGACGTACTGATGATTCCCGAGAAATTCCACAAACATAGGAGACACCAAATCGTCATCTTTCTCAGTAATTTCACTCAACGTTCCGTCGTGCTGCCGGTAAAGCAGCACAAATCATGAACTAGCTTTCCACACAACACTTATTCAATAACTTATGCTTAATCCACTAACCAGATGTGGAGGGTTGATTTGACCTTGACGTTGACGAACTGCTTTCTTTATTAGATGGACTTCTTTTCACTCGGATTTCCCTTGATGTGGATGCTTCAGAAGGAGACAAACAAGGTCGTTTAGAGGCAGGAGACGTTGAAGACGTTGCATTAGTAAAAGGCACAATTGGTGAAGGAACCTGGAAACACAAAGAAAATAAATCTCGACAACAACCAGAGTCAAAATTTAGCCACAGAACTACCGTACAATGAAGGTTATCAATCTATTACTTCACGTTTTAGGGTACGAAATATCTGAGACAACGAAGTATTGTGCTAACACCCAAAACTGACGGATGTAGGTCAGGAAATTCGGGCCGCGACATCGCAGGATATAAAGCCCAGCCCCTACCTGGTTGCCTCGATGCGGCACTTTAGCTTCAATTCAAGTGTGGCGTGCACGCTTATACTGAACTATGCCTGCCGAAACTATTTGACGCAATATTTCTCTTTTAGTCTACCAGCTAGTAATAATAGCTGCGGTTAGCTATGACGCTATGCGCGCCTGCTGGATGTCGCAAACCACCACGGACATCAATACGCAATACCTGGAATTACCATGCCCGGTATTGACTCGGGTGACCGGCTAAGCCTGAAAGTTGCGATAAGACTGATGAGGGTGTATTAAGAAAACGACCAAACTACAAGAGAGATATGAACATTCCACAACCTCCGTACAACGGGTAAGCCAATTCATTTTCCGGCTAACACTAGAGTGCGCCACTCACAGTGACTTCTTCCGGAACGCGGCTCACGTCGAAATTATGTCATACAATTAGATATACGCGTCACTACGGGGTAGCACATGTTTAATTGACTCTCGCATAATCGAGTTTGTTAAGCTGTGAAACAACACTCTGTCATTCGTTTGACATTTAGTATCATTCAAGGCCCCATATAAATAATCCACACCAGAGCAAAGGACACCGAGCGTGAATCAGAATTTCTTTGAATAACCGTGACGCCAGATTCCTCCGACATGGAGGGAGGATAAGGGTGGCAGCGATCAGCCCTATTATATAAGCGCTTCGTCTGTTTTTTGTTGTGTCTGTCCGAAATTCCGTGCTTCGACTGAAGAACCGGCTTCGAGATGGTCCGGGTTCAAGGTGGGTATGGGCCCTAGGGCAGTGATAAGAAATAAAAACCAAACTAGACCCCATGCGAAGCCGCCCCAAAAGTGAGCCGGGGCATACGCACGGAAAGTTGGGGGTTCGTCTTTCCATACAAAATGTTCATAATTCGCTTCCGGAGCAGCTTAAAGATGGGGAAAAAGGGAATAAGGTTAGTAAGGAGTCGCCAGACTAACTGTGGCAGACACATCCAAAATGGGCGGGGCGTACTCAAGGTGGGCGGTGCTTCTCGCAAAATTCAGTAACCCGGTTCGCGAGTGTTTGGAAGTCGCAAAAACTCAGTGTAGAATGTAAATATCTGGCGAGTATTGGGCACGCTCAAAATGTGTTGAGACCCGCCCACAGTGGGCGGAGCTTGCCCTAAACCGCAGGATACTCATTTTAAAAGTTTGTAGCTCGGTTCCAGAGCACTCAAAGACCGGAAAAAACGTGGATTAAGGTCAGCAGAGGGTCGCCGGTGAGGATTGTGGGGCACAAACATTGTGGCCTGCTCCGAGGTGGACGGAGTCAGACGAAAAATCTGTAAAATAGTTTCAGAGCACTCCAGACACCGGAAAAAAGTGGATTAAGGTCAGCAGAGGGTCGCCGGTGAAGATTGTGGGGCACAAAAATTGTGGGCGGAGCCTGCTCCGAGGTTGGT